CTAAATCTTGTTGTTCTATATTATTGCAAGAACATTTATCCTTGTTTCCCTTGCAATTGCGGGTTTCAGATTTTTTATTTGTGGTTTAAAGTTTGAAATAATAGGTATTAAAGAATAATTTTTACTTATTGTCACATGATCCTTGTTAATACTAATATGTCCATAATTATGGAGAATAAAGTCTAATCCCATAATAATAGGAACAGAAATATTCATGTCTCTAACCCAATTTTTTTGCCATTGATAATAATCTGACCAATAATTACAATTTGTCTGGAATTTTACTTGGATATATTTAACTTGTGAATTTAAATATAATCTAGTTCCATCAAACTGTGTAGAATATGATGGTTTTACTTTAACAATTTTATTTTTTAAGTCTTCTGGGATTATTTTTTCACCTATAGTAGATGAAGTTTCTCCAATATCCACTAAAATTGGTAAAGTATTTTCATAACCATGAATATTAATTTTTGTTGGTATTATAATTTGTATTAATTTATCTTTATTTCAGATTAGTGGTACAAGAATTTCACAATGTTTTTTTGTATTATTTATAATGTTAACTTCTTCCTGAGTAATTTTGGTTAATTTAAAATTAGTTTTATAGACTGGTAATTTTCCTTTTTCAATAATTTCTGTTAGTTTTTTAATCTTTTCGTCTAAACATTCAAGTCTTGCTTCTAATTTGTCAACCTTATTTTCTAAGTTTTTAAACTTGGTTTCTACCTTATTTTCTAAATAATTTTTATCTTTTGGAGGATTTGAATTTTCTGAGATTTCCTGAATTTTGTTTTCTATGCTAAAATTATTTTTAATGCAATTTGAACATATTTTTTTAAACAAATTTGGCATTTCCATCTTTTATCAAAAGAAGAAAATCAATTACATTTGAAGCATATAATATTGTCACTTCCAGCTTTGTAGTTTCAATTATGGTTATAATCTAAAGGTTTATTTTTTGGCTCCATTATTTTATTTAAAAGTGATTTTTTTCAATTTTTCTATAGAGCAAATACTCCAAATTTCAGAGTTGGCTCCATTATTTTATCAATTTTTTTAATTTTTCCTTCTAGAGAGCAAATACTCCAAATTTCATAGTTGTTTGAAATATCTGGAGTTATTTCTAAAATGTCTTCTTTTATAGTAGATATAAGTGAAACAACCAGCGGAAAATCATCAAACAATGAAGTCACCGTCGAACGTCTTTTATCCCACGTGAAGGGATAGATAAACATCGAGAAAACCTGAGAAGGGAGAAGTCACAGTCTTGCGACCGAGAAATTGGGTAAGGGAGTCGGTTATGCAAGGGGAAGGTATTAGCACCCCACACGCCCGTAGTACTTTGCGGTATCCACTCTTATTGTCTATCTTATAGGTTTGTTTATTCTATGCTTATTGTACTACTGAGGAAGAATGCATGCAAAATAAATGAGAAAATAATGTAGTGAAAATAAAGTTGTGTTCGCTTGGGCCATACCCCAATGCCTAAGCATCCTTTTTGAGAAATCAGAGTTACCGTAGTTTGGCTCACATATTTTGTTTGTTTTATGTTTTTTATGAATAATGTTTATTCCGCCTTCTGCCACAGCTCGACCTTTGGAGACTCACACGTTGGCACATAAGTAAATTAACATGTCCTTGCCTGAAAATGGTTTTAAGTTACGCCCTCAAGGAAAGATGCCACATTTGATTGGTTTGTGTTTTGTTACTTTGAAAAAGGGTTTAAGTGTGATTAGCATGTTTTATGATTTGCTAAGAAAAGAGAGATATTTTTAATGCAAATGCAAAAAGGGGGAAGAAATGAGTCTAAGGGAGACTAGCCTATTCCTAATCCTAATGTTATCATACAATGGTGGTCCTAAGGTTTGAATTAACATAAGGGAAATGTCTACCTAATGTTAGCATGCATGGTTTGCAACCTAAGGTCTAACTTGCATCTAAAAGGAACAAGCACATCCTAAGGGAACATGGTATAGAAAGAAAATGAATAAACAAGCTCGAAAGAGCATACGCATAAAAATGTAAAGAAAAGAAGTGAAATGCTTTAGTCAAGGAGAGTGTATCACCCAAGACAAACAAGCGGGAGTGAGATGAAAAAACAAATATGTGATGTCCAAAGTGATTGAACACCTAACTAAGATATAGAAGATCGAGGTAGGTGACAGAAGGCAATATGAAAAATCACGGAATGTCAGCATTGGCCAATGCGAACTCCTAACAAAGTGTGGGGGTTTGATTGTGAAACCCTTTTCCACTTGGCGAATCGATAACAAGAGTAGGAACAACTCCGAAGCATTATGGTGCGTCACGATCTAAGGATGACATGAATGAAATTGCAGGGGTTGATTGCTAATCCTTTTTCGCTCGCCTCCTTTTGAGGACATCAATAAGGGATGGGGGAATAATACGGACACAAATGTAAACACACATGCAAAATACCTACACAAAGGTAGGGTTTTAAACAAACCGCACATAAGTAGCACACAATGGCAAACAATGTGGAATTTCCCTAAATAGGTCTTTAAATAAACCAGAGAGGTTCCTGACATGATCAGCAACAGAGACCCCCGTCATACATATCTCTCATACTTCTCATGGCATCAGAAAGCATTAAAGTTCCTACTTCTCATGATATCTAGAAAACGGTAAAGAAATACGATAAAGTGTGGGAGAATGTAAAAGCAGTAGCGACGACTAACGAAGCAAGCAGATCATCAAAAGCGAATGAAAGCAGTGGAGAAGTAGGGAGTACGCGTCAAGCAAGCTTCACCAAGAAACAAACTAAGTCACAAACTATATCCAACTAAGATAAAAGAAAATGTGTGTTGCGAATGCAACGCGTAATCAGAAGTTCCTACATAAAGCGTCATAAAATATCACATGCATCTGAACAACATTTAATATGATATGAATTTCTCAGGATGATGAGAAATAAGGCATGTTGCATCAGATGCAAGCATAAGCCATATGCTTCAATCATATAACAACTTGTTATGTTTCATGATCGAAATCACCAAAAATGTACCTTGCACAATGAACAAACGCGTCAAAAATAACGAGGCGTGACGGTATGAAAATATGAATGAAAACTAAAAGAAAAAATATTTTTTATTAGTTTTTTATGTGAGGAGAAAATTCTATCGAAAACTAAAGGATTAATTCCTAGGAAAAATTCTATTATATTCTACCATTTTTATTGTTTTTTACAATTTTATCCTAATAAAAGTATAGAAAAAATTAAGGAAAGTCCTAAATTCTACAAAGAGATAGTTAGAATTAGGGGGGGGTGAACCTGAAACCAGGTGTGTGATTAATAATGAGACTTGGGCGTAAGGCCCATCCAATTTGAGTCAAGGAGGATCTTTTTCTGGTTTAGCTAGGCTTTAGTTCAAAAAACAGCGAATGGGCCTAACCAAATGAATCCAGCATTAAGTTTTTTGTTGAATAATCTCCAGGTTGCAAAAATAAGTGTTAATGGGCCTGAGGAGAGCATGCAGCGGCCCAATCTCATAGCATAACTATCACCATATTTTGTTTAGAATTTTCAATAGAATATAAATAAAATAAAATAAAAAATTTATCCAAACGGACGAGAAACGTTGCATTTTACTTGGATAGTGTTTATAATTCTGATTGTTCAGCTTCCTCGCTCAAACACGATACCTTTTCCTTTCTAAACTGCAAGCGGCGCCGCTCGGCTTCTTTTTGTGTCTCCGTCTGTTTCGAATCACCGCCAACGTGATACACACAACCACCTTTGTCTGGGCTTAGACCTCTGTCTCGCTCTTTTCAGTTCAACAGCTCCATCGCGAATCTTCATCTCAGTCTCTCAATTCTCCCCAAATACACAAAAAAATAACAAAAAAACCTAGGTATTCAGAGTGGAATCGGTGATATGAAACGAAGAAACACAACCATACTCACGAAGTGATAACAGAACGGATGAGAAATCATTAAGAAGAAATTCTTACCGACCGGAGTTCGTTCGGTGCGCGTTCAACCGATGAAGATGGTGAGGGAACCAGATATTCTTGTGTGTTTAGGTATGAAAGTCCCTCAACTCCTTTGCAGGACTTCTTCTTCTACTTCTTGATCTTCTTCTTCTTCTCTGTTATTGTGTTTTCTGTTATTGTCGACTATTACTACGTGAGATTTCCGCATGCGGAAATGCAAATGATGTTGATGACTGAAGCAAAGATGTTGCGGTTCGCTCTTGCAGAATATTGATGTCGATGAGATTCTGTTGTTAAAGGTTGCAGATCAACGAAGATGCAATCCGGAGTGAGATTGAAGAAGAAGAAGGTTTGGAGAAGGTTATTGAATGATGAAGGTTATACTATAGAATTAGTTACGGAGCAGAGAGTGCAGAGAGAGAGCAGTGAATTTTTCTGGTGATTTTGTGAAAATGAATTGTGTGAATGGTTGAGATAATAGATGTGGTTATGTGTGAAAAATGGTGAATCTCCCTGAATGAAGGTTATGGCTCAGATTATATAGGAGAAGAGGTTGAGAATTGGTTAGGGGATGAGGAAGTTAGTTATGGAAGTTATGATAGTTAGTTAGCATGTTTTCTATTATGGGTTAGTTAGGAAGCTATTAGTTTTTCTATTTTGTTATTTCTGTTATATAGTTGGTTGTTAGTCGGTTAGGAGTTGTTAGAATGTTAGTTGGAGTTGGTTATTTGAAAGCTGACTGTTTATTAGGGAAATTGAGAGAGTTTGATGGGAAAAGTGAGGAGTTAAAGTGTTGTTTTGAAATTGGAAAATTGGAGGGAGAGCTTATGCAGTTAGATAACTAATATAGTGAATCGATTTTTGATTGCTAACAGTCACAAAATTGGTTGAACTAATCTTGTTTGGATTTTCTTATGCTAATTGGATATTGTTTTGGATATTTTCTTTGGTTTTAGTTTATCGATTTGCTTGTTGGTTTTGGTTTTTTTATGTAGGGTCGTATGTGCGTTAATACTCAAGTCATGGTAATTGGTTTTGAATGATTCATCGCATATGTTCTTTTTTGTTGTGTTTCATAACATGAAAGGCGAGAATGGTACAGGTCATGAACTTGCAATGTTTTAAGTTAGTATGGTTATGACTAGATGCATTTACCATGGAACCATGTTTGCAAGCTGAAATTGTACATGACTGTATGATGGAATGGCCTGCTTTTGATATGCCTCTAATTATTGTTGAAATTACGTATGAATTGATAATGGAATTATGTGTTGCATTGATTTTGCTGCCTTGCTTTGATGTATAACATGACAATGCATATCTAGATATAAGGTTGTAGCAGGTGGCATCAAGGAGGTGATTCTGATTGTTGTGCTTCTGCAGGTCTGAACTGATTTTTGTGGATCCATACAAATGTTGAATTCGTAACATTGGAGCCCATTTGGCCATGAAGAAAATTGAAGATAAAGTTTAAGGATTAGGCTAGATTTATGATTAGACTTTGATGTAAATTCCTTTTGTAATGTTCCTGAAAATCGGTGACATAAATGGTGACATTTTGAATGGAAAGTCTCTTTTAATAAATTTCCCCTTTGAGAAAAATGCGATAAACCTTGAATGCCTCATTTGAATTTCCAATCTTTTTAAATAAATGTTTTTGAATGTTGACTTATAATGATTTCCATACCCGTTGAAACTTGATACTTTTATGGTGCTTTGAAAAAATTTGGATGTAAATTGAATGAAGCTTGAGATTGTAATGGATCTCATGGATATAATATGCAATGGTCCTTCTTTTTCAAATAAAGTTTGGAATTCATTTTCCCTCCATATGCTTCATTTTAATTTTTCAATTTTCCTTTAATTCTTGCAACACTTGAATAAGTACCAACAAATAGGATGAAAACCAACAAATGCTTAACATGGTGATCGGGATTATACTTATGTATCCAATGATTCGGACTGCAAGTGCACAGTCTTATCGTGTAGTTTTAAAAGATATCGAACTATAGAGACTGATGAATTGATCTACCGTCTTCTATTGTTACTTCGCAAATCTAAAGCTAATGAATATTTGATTGGGTTGTAGGGAAAACTAAATACTAAATTAAATTGGATTTTTAATAATCAATTAGTGTAATTACTAGTATGCAATACTCGTACCTCGGGAATTAGCGACCTGTTGGGCGTCTTTATATTTTCAAAACAGCTTTCAGTAAAACTTATTTAGTTTAAAAACCCTCGTCTCACACTGTCGTTTTGTTGATCTAGGCTATGCAATTAAGTCCTAACGTATGCTTCCGCCATCCCGCAGGAGTTAAAAACACTTTTTGAAAACTAAATAAAATCTTAATTAACTTTAAATTGCTTCCGCTGTATTTTAAGCCAATGCCTAATTACTACTGTCTAGTTAAAAGATCTCAAACTTCTGCTTTGTTGACCCTAACCTCTATCTGTTTTTGACTTCTGTAACAAAACAATTTAATGACTAAAAATAGTAACTTAGGCCAGAAAAGAAAGTTTCGTGGTAAAAATAATCCCAACTAAGTTACTCGTTCCCTTGGTTGAGTGGCTTTACATATCGGTATAGGATTTCTAGCCTAACATAATATTAAACCAAATCGCAGAATAATTTAAGAGTCAAACAAAATAAACATAATTATATTGATTAAAAAGCAATAAGAATTTGTAAACATAAACCTGGTAATAACTCTGAAGACAGAAGCACTCATGCACAAATTGTAGGCTTTGCTTCGATCGGAGAATATATTTAACCGTACAAAAGAAAATAATACTTCGAAAGGAATATAGAAATAACTGGGAAATAAAATAATGCTCAAGAATATTCCCTCAAAGTAAATATAAAATCTCTAAAGTTTCTTGCACAAAAAGCAGAACCCTTTCTACTGTGGTCTAAGGCTCTATTTATAAGTCTTGCGTGACAATTGTTCTCGAGAATGTAGGAACATTTTCTTTCTTCCTTTGAGAAATAACAGGGCCATTAATCTGTCACCTTCCTTGGTGCTTTGACTGAGTGGGTGAGAAAATGTAGGTGGTCGCTGGATTAACATTTGAATGTGTTTCTGTCTGTTGGATGAGGAGAAAGTGGAGTAAGTGGCTTGTGACGTTCATCACATTCAAGTGACGATAGTCACTTGGTCTTTCTTGGCGCGTGACGTTCGGCACGCCTCCTTGACGGTCGTCAAGGTCTTCTTCATGGTGGGCCACGTGCTCACATGTATAATGGGCTTTGAGCTCATTTCTCCTCGTTCGGCCTTTTTGCTAGTTTTGCACTTCTTTTTTCTTTATTTCTTCCAAAGTGTTCAGCTTAGTGCATATCTGCAAAAATAGAAAAATACTTGCATAATACCTATAAAACAATTTAATTTAAACTAAAGTATGAGAAACATTTGGTGTATATCAAGCCAGAAATATCACATATTTGTGTGTCATCAAACTCCCCCATACTTAAACTTTGCTTGTCCTCAAGGAAATGCTAAGTACGATGTTTTTCTAAACATGGTCAGATGCATGGTGATGACTCGAATCAACTAGTATATAGTTGCGTTGTGTTTTTGTCAGAAAATCGATGGCTTGATTCATGCTTCATTACTACATCAATGACACTAGACAATCTCATTTTACGTAACTAGTTACAGGTCCTACCATAGCCTACCTCGAGTATTTGTCTTGTTTTGACCTTTTCATTCTAGCGCAATCACATTAAGCCCTTTATCTTTACATGCACATAGCAGAACAGTCGGTTAGTGGTTATGATCCTTTTAAACTTTAGAGGTTTCTGGCACAGTAATGTGGCAACCTTTTTTATTCAATGGTTGGATGCGGGGGATCAAACCGTAATCTGCCCTACCGAGTTCAGTACCAGATGCTCCTGAACCATCCACCAAATGAATTTTCATGTTACTTTGTAAGGTTTACATCCTTTGGATTAGGCGATCGGGTAAGGATCGTCCAATTTAATTGGTGTGTTTCCTTGCAACATTTTGCTGAAATATCATCCACTTATATTCATCGACTTCCTGCATAGTTTGTGTTTAAGACGGTGCTGACTGCTAATATAAACTACTCAGGGTTACTATAAAGACTAAACTCAGGGTGTTGGAATAACAGGTATTTAAACTGATCTATCATACTCTGGGGTTGTAGAGTGTCTAGACGGTAGAAATTTCGCTTAATCTTGCCCCAATTCCTGACGATTAGAGATCTTGCAGTCTATGTACTTGTCGAGTGAGTCAAAAAAAAATTTTTATAGGGCTCAAAAAGGAAAGGGGAGTCTAAAAGAACACAAATTGCTTTAATAGATAACTTGATAAAAAAAATTTATTGGAATAAAGATAACGGAAGGGAAATTACAAAGAAAAATAAAAATTACTAGGAAAAGGGAAATACTTCCTCCCCCATACTTGAATCATACATTGTCCTTAATGTATTGATAGAAGAGGGAAAGGGGAAATGGAAACTGGATAATCATTCTTCCTCCTCTTGTCTTTGGTATCGGCCACATGTCCTCGCTCTTTGACGTGCTTGCCCACCGTGTCTGGAAGATTCGCCTCCATCTCTCTTGGATATGATGTTATGCAAGTCGTCAACACGAAGTGTTAAGGCTCGCATATCTTCCGTTATTCCTGTGGTGAATTCCAGCATACTTTGATCATGCCTGTAAGTGTAGTCGTTTTGGTCTCTCTGCATTTGTTGCATGAAAGTCATCATCTCGATTTGGCGCGTCTCGAGGCTCTGGTGGCGTTGAGTGGACAGCTGGTTTTGCTGCATTATTGCGGCATAGATTGCATCGATGGTGGCGGGATTGTTGGCTTGTTGTGGTTGGGGCTCTTGATGCTCTAATTCTTCTTCGATTTCGTCAGCGGCAGCGTTGTTGGCCTCGCCTTGATTTCCTTGCACATTTTCTCCGGGTTCTGGGGCGTTCAGGTTGTAAAGCCAGTTATCCGGATTACCCAAGTATGTACGATTGTGATTTGACATGATCACGCTACGAACTCTTGCATTCTTAACCATTAGATAGTACCCTCCAGCTTCTCGTACTTTAATCAGACGGCCAGCTCTACAGTTATCAATATTCATATAAATTGCTGGCAGCGGAGGTAGGCGTTGGATCCTTTCCCCCCAGTTCAGGTGAACTGCGATGGTGGTGACGATGCCTCCGACACAAAATGGTGTAGTCCCGTCTCTTGTAATGAGGTTTTGAATGTGGGCCATCATTAAAGTAACGGGATTAAGACGGAGGTTTTGTGAAAAGTTACAGTGAAGAGCATACAATTCTTTAGTGTTTACCTTGTTGTTGTTTGCCCTTCCAAATACTGTGTTTGCCATAACACGGTGTAAGAAGCGGATGTTCGGGTTGTGGATGTGAGAGGCGTACCGTGCTTCTGGATTGACATTTGGTTCGCCGGTTATTCTCTCCCATAGTGCGTATGCACTTCCATTCCAATCCAATTCTGGGGGAATGCGATATTGCACATTATTCCCACGGGGAAAATGAAATATGTCGCTCAAAATTTCATGGTTGAGTGTGTACTCTCGGTTGAACATCCGAAATTGAGCAGCTCCCGTTAGGTGTGCCTCGGCATCATCGCGAGTGTGATAGGCGTAGGAACTCAAGAATTCCAATGTGAGAGCTTCGTAAGTTGGTGTGTTCGCCGTGCTAATAAAGCTCAGGCCAGCTTTATTCAGCAAGCCTTGCATATGGGTTTGCAATCCCAATTCTTGCAAGCAATTGTTGTCGATGAACCGCGTGGATGTTAGCCCTCGACGATGGAATTTTATGTACTTTTCCTTTTGAAGTTCACCTGCTTCTCCTTGTCAGAGCACGAGATGTCGCATGTCGGGTTCGGGTTGGTTTGATGGATTTCTTTGGTTGGCCATGATTTTTTTGAACTTGATAGAAAAAATGTATTTATGGTAAAGAGATGGAAAGTGGATGGTAGTGATGAAACTAAGGATCGAAGAGAGGTTTATATAGATGGTTTTGTTGAGTAAGAAATTTAATGGGGTTTATGGGAGAATTTTGAATATGAGAGGTTATGGAAGTTATGGGTGAATGGAGTAAATGGGGTGGTGGGGTTTCAAAGAAAATTTTCGTGCATCAATGCTGTTCAATTGTCACGGGAAGTGAAAGCGTGGGAGACAGACCCTGCCGTTCGTCACGCGCTCTCTGACGCTCGTCAGAGTCAAAGAGACAATCCCTGACGTTCGTCACATGCATCCTGACGTTCGTCAGGGTGAAGTGATGCGTGCATGTCTTTCTTTGACATCTTTGACCGCGTGCTGTATAGCATAGTCCCATTAAATTAATTAATTCATTAACTTTGAGAAGTATTTTTGCAAGGGGTATAGTAGCACATAGTAGAATTGGAAGAATGATATGGTAAATAAATAAATAAGAAGCAAATGAAAATAATAGTAGAAATAAG